TCGGGGCCTCAGGAGTGGTTCGACCAGAATGCCTTGGATGGTGTCTCCACGCTCGTTCAGAAGGTCGTACGAGGAGTACGTGTACACCGAGAGCCACGGCGGAGACTCTATGATCACGACCGCCACCGGGAGTGCAATCGCCTCTCGGTGATGCTCTCCGCTACGGGCCAGTGTGCCTACAAGGACGACGGCGCGAACCGTACCAACGAGCGCACGGAGGACAGCTGGGTTGGTCTCACGCTTTTCTACCACGACAAGCCGGACGCTCATGCACAAGGGGTGTACTATTTGGACACTCCGGAGGGGCTTGTACGACAGCCGATGACTTACGAAGAATGGATCAACGTGTCATCTGTGTATGACGCATGGCTGCAGGAGGCCAGGTACGAGCACGACGTGTTCGCACTCGTGATGAAGCAGAACGCGAAGGAGCTAGACCCACGTCACTTCAACCAGCACGAGAAGGCTAAGTTCGACGAGGCCGATGCCGCCGAGTGGCGGCAATGGATCGCCAACAACACGGTCGAGCTGGTCACCGAGGAGGAGGAGAAGAGCATCCCGAAGGACAAGATCATCTCGGTGCCCACGCGTTCGGTTCGCACGAACCGGGGACGAGGGCCGGAGCTGGAGGCGAAGTCTCGCTTGATCATCCCTGGCCATCTCGATCCGCAGCTTGGTCTATTCAGGACGGATTCGCCTACTACTTCCCCTTTGGCTGTGCTGGTGTGTGCGTCTATCACAATGGCGATGGATTGGACATTCGAATGTTTCGACGTAGCGACTGCGTTCCTGTCCGGGCTGAAGCTGGAACGGGAGCTGTATGTGAGGGCTCCTAAGGACGGGCTTCCAGCCGTCGACGGTGCTGGATGGCCAGCCGTGCGGCCTTATGCGTTGCTGCGCTTGCTGAAAGGGGCGTACGGTCTGACTGAGGCGCCTCGGTTGTGGTATCTCCGAGCCCGCCAGGTGTCGACGGACGAGGTCGGTTTCGTGGAGCTGCGCTGTGCTCGAGCTGTCTTCGTTTATCGAATGAAAGACAAGTTGATCGCTATGTTGACCTTGCACGTCGATGACGGCATGCTGTTTGGAGACCCACACGATCCCCAGTACCAGGAGGTGAAGGCGAACATCAACAGTCGTTTCAACATCAAGCACTGGAAGAAGGGCAACGACAAGGAGGCAATCGCCTATCTCGGTGAGGAGTGGTGGCGCCACCCTGATCACATCGAGATCAGCATGCACGAGTACATCGGCAAGCTGACGAAGCACCCCCTTGCAAGGGGTGACAACGAGGAGCGGGAGATGATTCCCGAGGAGCACCACGACTACCGGAGCTTGCTCCAGAAGGTGCGGTGGCCTGTCGCACGCGTGGTGCCACAACTCGCGTATAGTGTCTCGGCGCGAAAGGTCGGAGGTTGCTGCACCTGCGAGTGCTCAATGACATCATCGACCGGCTTCAGGACTACGACAAGAGAGGTCTTGCGACTCTCCGGATCCGCCGCGTGGACATCGAGCGCTTGCAGGTGCTCACGCTTATGGACGCTTCGTTTGCGAAGGAACCCGGCTGTAAGAGCCAGATGGGGTTCATGAGTATGATTACGGACACCCGAGTTTTGAAGGAGCTAACCGTATGCTGTCTAGTGGAGTTTCAGAGCAGTACTATTACACGAGTTGTTGGATCTACGATGGCCGCAGAATCTGCGGCTATGTCCGTGGCTTTGGATCGGCAGCTTTACCTCAGGCTGCTGATTGAGGCAATCTTGTACGGGGAGCCGCCCTTGCAAGGGGACTGGAGGCTGGCGCTGAAGGTTCCAGGGGCGCTCGTGACGGATGCGAAGTCGCTCTACGATCACACGTCCAAGATCGGGTCGATGCCGGTGTCTCGGCAGACCCTCATTGACTTGCTGGTGGCCAAGGATTTGATAGAGCAGGAGGCCATCAAGTTCAAGTGGCTGCCTAATAGCCACATGCTAGCGGATGTGTTGACAAAAGCCGTGCAGCCTAACGAGGTACTATCGCAGTTCCTCCGCCACGGCCTGTTCAGCATGGTGCCTACTGCTGAGCAAGAGGATGAGGAGGCACACCGTCTGCGGCTGCGCCGCGGACAGCGTGAGCGAGCCAAGGAGCGGAAGGCCCAGCGTCGGGTCGCCGTTCCAGGGCCTGCGAGCCCGTGAGGTCCTGATTGCAGCTGCTGATGGACCTAGTGAGAGCTACGGTGATGTATGCATATCTTTTGAGTTGATCGTCTGGAGTAGTGTATCCAGATATTCATATTCTTGTATTTATATTTTGAGCCTCAGGCCGCACCTTGCTTGAGGTGTCTCATGCATATCTTTTGAGTTGACAGTCTGGATTGGTGAATCTAGACATTCATATTTATATTTCGAGCCTCAGGCCGCATCTGCTTGAGGTGTTTCGGCCCGTGGGCTGATATACATTATAATTGCGTGCAGCGTTGCCCTTTCAGAGGGAGCGGCATCGGGGCAGCATTGTACTCACCCAGTGTGAAGAGTGCACTCCCCTGCCCCTCTGCCGCCCGTGCCACCATGTGTGTATGTTGTACGCGCTTGTCTTGTTTTGTGGCATGCACGCTGCCCGCCGCTGTTTTGGCCCTAGTCCTAGGGCCCTGGGACGCACCCGCAGTTGGACTGCCGCGCGGTCTTTGCTGAAAACAACTGCACTGACACCTGTGTCCCTCCCCTGTGCGCGCCCCCTGCCTGCTCCGCTGTGGTGTCGCTGCTGGTTGCTTCGTGGTGTGGCTTGGGTTGGGGCCTTCGCCTTTCGCGGTCGAGGCTCGAGGGGGCGCGGCGACGGCGCGCGCGCGGCCGCCCCCGCCCGCCGCCGCCTGCTAGCCGCCTCTTCCGCCTCTTTCCTGGAGTTCCCCCCGCCTGCCCTCTGAGAGAGCCGCCGCGCTTGGTGCTTGCATGCGTTCCTGTCCCAGTGCGCATGGGTTGTGAATCTGCGCAGGTGAGACGGCCCCGCAAGCAGTCCAAGTCTCTGCGGGGCACGGGCCCCGCTTGTCGGGCGACTGCAGCCCCCCCCCCCCCTTGTGTCAAGTGCCCCCCACCCCCCCCCTTCGGTCGGGGCCTCTTGCCCCTTCCGTTGGGGGGTGGGATGGGTCGCCCTCGCACGCGCGCGAGGTGCCGCGGCGACCTCGGCCAGCGGTGCACGGGAGCGCTGTTGCCGAAGGGATTCAGCCAGCACCTTTTCCCCCCTCTTTCATCCCTCGCTGCCCCTCTGCTGCAGCTGCCCCCCCCCCCCCCCCGCGCGCCCTCGCCGTTTGCGTCGGGGCCCGCGCTGCTCGCGGACGACGGTCATGGATATGGATGTGCGATGCGTGACACGCGGTGAAAAATCCTCCTCCTCCTCCTCATCATCCTCCTCTCTCTTCCCTTTCCCCTCCTCCTCCTCCTCCTCCTCCTCCTCCTCCTCTTCCCTCCTCCCTTCTCCCTCCTGTCGTTCCTCCTCCTCCTCCGTCTCCTCTTCCGTCCCTTCGTCACTTGTAGCGCTTATAGAATCCCATAGAATCTCCTCCTCCCCCGTCCTCTTCCTCCTCCTTCTTCGCGTCCTTCTCCTCCTCGTCCTCCTCCGCTTCCTACTCTTCGCCCCTGGCAACCTGGGAACATTGAAAATTACATTTTTAAATATGCAAAATAAGTTGGGAGCGTTTGACATTTCAAAAAAATTCAACAACATTACCCCAGTGCGACCCTACCTAGAAGTTGGAGCCCTTAGGAAAGCCGCATTAGTTGCTATGCTATGTTCTGCTATGCTATGCTATGCCTCCGGACTGAGCCGAAATGGTTACGGAAGGCACTGCTTGCGGGGGCTCCGGTCCGGCCATCGAGGTTTGCTCGACATCTCTCGCGCATTGTTTTTGTTTTGCATTTTCATTGCTTTGCGTTTGCTTTGATTTGCTTTGCGTCGCTTGTGATTTGCTTTGCTGTCGTTGCTGTTACTTTCCCGCTGCTTTGCTGGTATGTTTTGTTATGCTATGCTGCGCTGTGCTATGCTGTGCTGTGCTGTGTTGTACTGCGCTATGATTTGTTATGTTATGCTATGAAATGCTGCGCTATGCTATGCTACGATATGATGTGCTGCGCTATGCGATGCTACGAAATGATATGATGTGCTCGGCTATGCTAAAGTTCGGCGCCGCTAAGATGAAGGTAAGCGAAGCTAAGATGAACATGAGCTAAGACGAAGCTCAGCTCAGCTAGGCTAAGATGACATAAGCTAAGCTAAGATGAGATAGGCAAAGCTAAGGGGACGTAGCTGGGGAAACCGCGGGGCGGATCCTGGAGGAACCGCCCGGGGCGATGCTCACTGCCGGGCCCTTTAACATAGAGAGCAAGAACCCTTCCTTCTAGGCGGAGCCTAGGTAGGGAATTTTGATTTTGTCGGGGGCCCAGGAGTTTTCGGCGTTCCTGGTGGTTTGGTCTGCGGCTTTTGGGGCCCTGGAAACATTGGCCCATGTTAGCGCGTTTCCGAAAACAAGAGGTTGTTGCACCCTCGACGTGCAAGATGCGTGGTGTGAGCTGTCTGGTGCAAGTTGCGTGGTGCAAGATCCGTGCGAGGCGCCCCCGGGCGGGCACCTGGGCTGACACGAGGCGCCCACGAGGCTCCCACGGGGCGCCCACGGGCGGGCACCACATGGGCACCAGACGAGGCCCAGGCACACCCGTCCGGCGCAAGGGGCGCCCATGAGTTGCCCACGTGCGGGCACCAGCCGGGGCACAAGGCGACACCCCGCCATGCCCGTCCCAACCACTTCGGCAGCCCCCTTGTCGCAACCCCTGCCCACCGTCTGGACCCCCATGGCTCCTGTCTAGTATCAGTGCCTCTCAAACCCACTGTAGTTGCAGCGCCCTCCCACTTCATGCCTCCGCCCAGTTCTCCCGAACGACAGATGCGCGCCAGCTTTGTTTGGGTACCAAATCTCGACTGGTCAGCGGCGTCGGGAGCGCCCCGCCCGCGGCGGGCCTCTCGGAGAGAGCGCTGAGGGCGAGACGGACGGCTCCTCCTTCCCCAACGGCGGCCTGCGCGTCACGCACTCCGCCGCTGCCTTCACGGTGTGGGACCGGACGTCGCCGCCGTTCTGCGGCGGCAGGGAGAGAGGGAGGTCGTCTTCCTTCTCCCTCGTCTCCTTCCCCTTCTCCTCTGCCTCCCCATCCTCTCCCCTACCTCATCATCCTCTTCCTACGTTTGTTTGTGATGTTATCTCTCTAGTGTTCTCGTTGTTTTGTTTAGTTATTGCTTTATGTTTGTTATGTATTGCGTTCTCTTTTTTTTTCTTTCTCTCTCTCTCTCTCTTCCGATTCATGTATGTAGTTGTGTCTTTGTCCATCTGTCTTTCTCCCTCCCTCCCTCCCTCCCCCTCATCCTCGTCCTCCTCTTTGGCCCTCCCTCCCTTCCTCCTCACCTCACCATGTGGGAAATGAAACTGCTGGGAACAACTCCCTCCTCCCTCCTCCTCATCCTCCTCTCTCTTCCCTCCGTCCCTCTACTTCTCTCTCTCTCTCGTGCTGCCGACGGGCCCGCGCTGGCGCGGCGCCTCTACCGCTGGCCTCCCCCCCTGAGATCTGGGCGTCGCAGCTTGTTTCACACTGGGCGCTCTCGCCACTCTGAGGAAAGCGGTGAGCTCTGCAGCATCAATGTCCAGAAGGGGTTGCTGCAACATGCCGCACTTGAAAGAGCGAGCACGCATCCTGGGAGGACAACAAGTGGCGATGGCCTATCTTGCGGTTTGGGCGTGAACAGGCATCTGCTGATCCATCCCAGGTCCGTCCAAGAAAACATGCTCTCCCATCTCGGCGGGTCCTGCTGAGAACCACCGGTCCGGTACGTGCCTAGAGAGAGGGGGAGCAGCATCAGGCCCCAGCAGTCTCTCAGCAAAGAGGCGAGCGAGAGGCGAGCAAGTGGCACGAGCGAGCGGGTCAAGATAGACGGGAATGCTTTCTTCGGCCATGGCCTCTTCCTTGGTGCCACACGAAACATGACGTTGCTGCAACGTGCCTGGCGCACGTAGACAAGCATGGCATGCGGCCATGTCGCTGAGTGCGCACTGCCACTGCCAGAGCTGAGGCCACTGCCCCCCTGAACACGCAGACTTTTCATACAACCCTTCTCCGTAGGGGAGAGGCCTGAGGCCACTGACTAGATCCACAGGAGAAGCAATATCAAAACCTCTGGCAAGCTCAGGAATGGCCTCCCTGCTTGCCCCCTTCGCCCTGAGCCAAGAAGCAACAACGCGGGTCAGCCAGGGACTTCTCGAGCGGGGCCCCAGCCTTTGGACCGAGACCTCTCAAAGGGCAGGATGCTTCCACACGAAATTTTGGACAATGATGCTTCAGGCGACTCGCCGTGGCAGAACAAGTCGAGAACGGTCCCCGATCGTTGGCCAAGGATTGCCACTGCTCTGGATTCGCTCAAAGGCCTTGATCAAGCACTCTGCTAGGCAGCCAGATTTCCCATACGACAGCGAACATGCACAGAGGCTCGGTGTTGAGGCGATCTGCGGTATCACACTTCGGAGCTTCGGCAAGCATGACAACCAAAGTGAAGCTGCGATCAGACAATCTCTATCATCATTATCATCATTCTCATCATTATCATCATCATCATCATTATCATTATCATCATCATCATTATCATCATTATCATCCTTGTCATCATTATCATCATTATCATCATCAGCATCATCATTAGCATCATTATCATCATCATTATCATCATCATTATCATCATTAGCATCATCATCATTATCATCATTATCATCAGTATCATCATTATCATCATCATCATCAGCATCATTACCATCATCATCATCGTCATTATCATCATTATCATCGTTATCATCATTATCATCATCATTATCAGCATCATTATCATCAGTACCATCATTATCACCATTATCATCATTATCATCTTCATTAGCACCATCAGTATCATCATCATCACCATCACCATCATCATCATCATCATCATCATTATCATCATCATTGTTATCATCATCATTATCGTCATCATCATCATTATCATCATCGTTATCATCATTATCACCAGTATCATCATCATTATCATCATCATCATCATTATCATTATCATCATTATTATCATCACTATCATCATTACCATCATTATCATCATCATTATCATCATCATTATCATCGTTATCATCCGCATTATCATCATTATCCTCATCATCTTTGTCATCATTATCATCATTATCATCATCATTATCATCCTTACATTCATCATTACCGTCATTGTCATCATTATCATCATCATCAGTATCATCATTACCATCATTACCGTCATCATTATCATCATCATCATTATCATCATTATCATCATCATTATCATCATCATTATCATCATTACCATCCGCATCCCCATCATTATCATTATCATCATCATTAACATCATCATTATCATCATTATCATCATCATCATTATGATCACCATCATTATCATCATCATTATCTTCATCATCACCATCATTATCATTATCATCATCATCATTATCACCATCATTATCATCATCGTTACCATCATCATCATTACAATCATTATCATCGTTATCATCATGATCATCATTATTATTATCATTATCATCATTATGATCATCATCATTATCATCATCATCATCATCACCATTAGCGTCATCATCATTATCATCATCATTGTCATCATCATTAGCATAATCAGTATCATCATCATTATCATCATCATTCTCGTCATCACTATTACCATTTAACTTCTCGCTCTCGTAGTTTTTTGGATCTCAAGGGAGCGGTGACAGGATCTAAGCCCCAGTGCCGAATCTGAAGTTCGGTCCCTTGACACTTTACCGGCACAGCATAGTGAATTGAGTGATCTTGCGTACAGAAAAGAGATTTCAACTCAGTGCGATTCCTGGTAGCCCATTCTTTCGGTTCTCGGCTTCTTGAATTTCTACCAGATGGCGCACGAAGGCGACCCTGGGCGCGGCACAAGCCCTCCGTCTTTCAAGCGCGATGGAGCGTGCGGAGGGGAATCAAAGTCGTCGTGCTGGTACGGATTCTGCGGCTGGGAGTCGCAGGAGCCGGAGTGGTCGCAGGGGTGACGATGACGGCGATGGGAATGGCAATCCATCGCAATTTTTCTACATTTATGCGTGAACAGCAGCGTATTGCACAAGAACATCAACAGGTCGACATCCAACTCACCATGCGCATGCAGGCCGACCTGCAAGAGAGGCAGCAGAAATGGCAAGAGCAAGTGCTCCAAACAATGCAAGCAGCAATGTTGGCGCATACTTCGCCGCCTTCTGTGCCTGCACCTGCGCCTGCCCCGCTGGCTCAGGCGACCGCCCCGGTGGTTGCGGTCAGCGCTGCCATGCAGCAGCGGGAGCAGTACACCATGAACATCCCAGACGCTGTGAACAAAGAGTTGGAAAAAACGCACTTTTGATTTCGAGAAGAATGTGTCTAAACTCATGCGTACCAAGGCCGCGTTAGAGAAAGCACGCGGCGATGTTGCTATTTTGACAAGTAACGACAACGATAATTATCATAATGGGGTGCGGGCCTTCAAAACGAGCTCCACTGCAACAGAATTTGATATTGAATTGCCAGAGGCGCGTTCTGAGGATTTTGTTGTCAGGCTGGTGGTTCCCAGAGGGTCTTCCGTCCGGGAGGCCATGCGGGTTGTTCACCGTGGCATGTGGCGTTTTTTTTTCCCTCAAAGAGTCCACCGTGAAGGCGCTGGAGATCCACGAGCAATCGTTGAGGAGCAACGTTACTGAGGAAGAGTTCGTGAAAATTGCCTGTACGATTTTGGAGAACGTCACGAAACACCATGCCACCGAGCTGGGCCTTGAGGCGCCCCTGAAGAAACCGATCGAGCCATCGATCGCGAGTGCCAAGATTGAAACGTTGTATTCGAAGATGATAGACAGGGTGCATCGCTCTGAAGAGAAAAAGAAGGATGACGCACAGAAGGAAAAGGAGGATCGCATGAGGCAGGAAAAGGAAATTTTGAAAGCGCAGCCTGAGGGGTTGTTTGCAGAAATGGTTGCTCGGAAGGTGGACGAGCGATTGAACCGGGAAGGGTTGATATCGCTGGACTCCGACATGGGCGCGCCGCAGGCTCCGGGTACCATCGCCGACGTCGCGAACGCAGTCATAGAACCGCGGAGGTCAAAAAACGGCGGGGCCCCGGGGGCAGCTCCGGGGTGCACGAAGGCTGGCGCCAAGTCCACGGGCAAGAAAGGCAATAAAGGCAAGGGCGACCCTTGGCTTTGGAAAGGCAAGAGCAAAGGCAAAGGCAAAGGCAAAAGCAAGCAGAAGGGTCGCCCAGGTACAGACGGTGGAAAGCGTGGGCCGCCACGCAAAGGTCCAAACACAAGGGCCTGAGGGAGTCGCGGCGCCGCTGGCAGAAGGGCCAGTGGCTCGAGAGCATGATGCGAGGCGCGTCTTTCGCAGATTGGCTCTCCATCGTGCAGTGCAACGCCAGAGCTTCCAAAGTGTACGTATATGGCCCTCGGAATCGGGCAGTCCGCCCGTCAGACGCAGTGCCTTGGCCGGTGAAGTGGTTGTTGATTCATTTTCACCATAAGCATGTTTTCTGCCCTGGCATGCTCCCCAACGTAGCGAACGTCAGAAAGGATGTGGTTCCTTTCACTAATAAGGTGCATCGCCGGTGCTGTCGCGAGGGGCCCGCTGAGGAACAAGCATTGCCGTGCAGGGTGCGTGGCTGGATCACTCCCCCCTGCTCGGCAACAATCCCTCTCGGCATGAAATTCTGGACTGACGCACTGCGCCGTCATATCTTGAACAATGTTTTGAAACGACGGCGGCACCTTAAGCACTGCCAGAGAACCACCAACGTGTTCCCACTTGTTCGCCTATCGCTCCGTCTCCTACGTGATTTACGTCATGTCCCAGTCAAGAACGACAAAGAAATGGGCTACACACTGGTCCCTGTGGAGGCTGACGTGTCGATTGACATGGAGTTCTTCACGAATGGCGACTACGAAGAACTTCCGGATGGCTGGTACGATTTCAATGGGCCCGCGCAAGAGTACACAGCGCTGGCTCGTGATATACAGCACGAGGAAGGCACGCCCATCGCTAAAGACATCATGCGTTCAATGTTTACACCTGGTGGTTCGATCAGATCCCGCCTGTTGAAAACGTGCAATATGCATAAGTCTCCAGTAGTATTTCGCAACGTGCACGCTGCTGGGAAGGTCGTTTTTGCAGGATTGTCCCATTGGGTCTCCAGGAGGCTCAGGGCAAAACTCAATGAGTTGGGACATGTTGCGAAAGACAGCAGAGAAGCTGCGAGGAGACTGATGCACCGACCCATGAGTCAATCCGAAGGTTTCCTAACATTTGACGTCAAGGATTTCTTCATGAGCGGCGACGCGGAGTCGTTGGTTGAAGACGTTTTGGTGTCATTTACTGGACGGGAAAGGCAACTATTGGGACGTGCGCTCGACCTGCTTCTGTACAATCAATATGTTGTTGCTCGAAATGTCCCAGGTCGTGTGTGGAAGGTTGTGAAGGGAACAGGAATGGGGTTGCAGCACAGCGGCGACCTGTCCGACTTTGCGCTGGCCAGTCGTATGGAGCGATGGGCCATCAACAACTGTTTCGCTCATGGTATTACACACTACCTCAGGTTTCGAGATGACATTTTGTGCATCTACAAAGACTTAGCTAAAGCTTATGCGTTCTACCAGGCCATCAAGGAGCGTGCCGGCTACTTCAAGCTGCTCGTGTCTGGAGGCGGCTGTGAGTCCATAGGGTGGCTGGAGCTCACACTGTTTAGACGCAGCGGTAGCATAGCTTGTAAGCCTAAGTGTAAAGACGCATATTTAATTACGCCCCTCTCTTTTTCTAGTTGCCACCCTATCCACGTGCATGTGTCCTGGCCCCGTGCGCGACTCCACTCTCTGAAGGCTTTGCGCTCCCACGCCGAATTCCTCGAGGAAGCTGTCGCAACTGTACGTGGTAGGCTCTTTCAATCATACACCCCACGTCAATTAGATGTTTTGCTCCGAGACAGGGTGCCGTGTTTGCGTGCAGCACGACGCGGCATCCTGCGAAATGTTGTGTGGCTCACATTGGGCCACCATCCAGATCGATTGTGCGGTTCGGAAGGCGTTGCTTGCTTTCATCCACAATCCGTTTTGGAAAGGCGTCTTGACAGGGAGCGTCCGCAAAAACCGGCTGCCTCTCGTTAGAATTTGTAACTACCGTGCACTTCCTAACTTGGCGAACCTGCTGGGGCGAATCGGAGATAGGACGGGGTAGGTGGGTTGGCCTATTACTATTATCATTTAACTTCTCGCTCTCGTAGTTTTTTGGCTCCCAAGGGAGCGGTGCCAGGATCTAAGCCCCAGTACCGAATCTGAAGGTCGGTCCCTTGACACTTAACCGGCACAGCGTAGTGAATTGAATGATCTTGCGTACAGAAGAGATTTCAACACAGTGCGATTCCTGGTAGCCCATTCTTTCGGTTTTTTTCGGTGCCACACGAAACATGACGTTGCTGCAACGTGCCTGGCGCACGTAGACAAGCATGGCATGCGGCCATGTCGCTGAGTGCGCACTGCCACTGCCAGAGCTGAGGCCACTGCCCCCCTGAACACGCAGACTTTTCATACAACCCTTCTCCGTAGGGGAGAGGCCTGAGGCCACTGACTAGATCCACAGGAGAAGCAATATCAAAACCTCTGGCAAGCTCAGGAATGGCCTCCCTGCTTGCCCCCTTCGCCCTGAGCCAAGAAGCAACAACGCGGGTCAGCCAGGGACTTCTCGAGCGGGGCCCCAGCCTTTGGACCGAGACCTCTCAAAGGGCAGGATGCTTCCACACGAAACTTTGGACAATGATGCTTCAGGCGACTCGCCGTGGCAGAACAGGTCGAGAACGGTCCCCGATCGTTGGCCAAGGATTGCCACTGGTATGGATTCGCTCAAAGGCCTTGATCAAACACTCTGCTAGGCAGCCAGATTTCCCATACGACAGCGAACATGCACAGAGGCTCGGTGTTGAGGCGATCTGCGGTATCACACTTCGGAGCTTCGGCAAACATGACAACCAACGTGAAGATGCGATCAGACAATCTCGAAAGCTGCACATACGCCTGAAACGCACGTGCAATACGCAACTCGGTGCAATGTGTGTCATGCACGTTGCTCCCATACTTGAGGGAGGCCAAGCAGGCAGCCTACACTATGTGATGGAGGCGGCTCTTTTCCACCACCCTGGCAAAACACTGAAGCTTGCCAGCCCTGGCTCCTCCGCCTCCTCCTCCTCCTCTCTGCTTCTCCTCATCCTGCTTGGGGGGGTGTCAGGGGAGGTTTTGTAAGGGTCAGGGGAGGAGGAAAATGGAGGAGGAAAAGGAGGGACCAGAGGAAACCCAATAAACATCAATGGTTTTGCAGCACGCCCGAGGCAAGTCACCTCCTCGCAAGTTCGCACAAACATTCTTATCCAGTGCATGGAGGGCCTGCCCTTCAGGCGAGGTCCGGTGTTGTGAGGATCAACCGTCCATCCTTCTAGGTGGGACCAAACATATCAAGGACGTGTCCAGCGATTGCCCCGTTCTGAAGACGATCTGCACTCAACCCGTGTAATGTGTAAAGGGTCAGTGTTGCGATATTTCGCGAAGTTCGGATCCTCAAGTTCGCGGAAGTTCCAAGTGAGAGTTCAATTTTGACAAGGAGCAGCATTCTACCCGTGTGATTGTTGCATATTTTGGAGTCTCGGGCCAGCTATTCTTAGGAAGTTTGAAGCGAGAGACGCATTGTGAGCAGAAACCAGCCTCCGTTGATGTAATCGCGTAAAACTTGTAAAACGATTGTGCGCGGCTCGAAGGCGAGATCCGCATTTGAAAAGCACCCCCCTTCCACCTTGTAGCTGTTTGATTGATTGTATCATACGAGTGTGCGCGGCGCTCAGGCGAGAGCCGCATTTTGGAAGTGAGCCGCCCTCCATCCGTGGTACAGTTGCATCATTCGGAGTTTCGGGCCGCAAGTACCAAGCAAGAGCAATAGTTGAAAACAAACCGGACCCCACCCTGGTAATCGTTGGAAGTTTGTTTACATGATGCGCGGCGCGCTAAACCTAGAGCCGTAATGTGGTAACCACATCCCATCTATCCGTGTGAATGGTTGTTGTTTCAAACGAGTGCGCGCAGCGCTTAGGCGAAAGCCACATGTTAGACAGCACCCGCCCTCCATCCGTGCAACGGTTACACCATCCGGGTCATGGAGTTTGAGCACGTCTAAATCGAGAGCCACATTTTGAAAATGATTTGGCCATCGTCGGTGTGATTGCTAGCTAGCTGTAAAGCATGTGCGCGGTGCCAGATCGGGAACTGGATTTTGAAAGCCACCCTTTTCCGTCTTCGAATCTGTTGGGAGCTATCTAACACGAGTTGCGCGGCGTTGAAGCACACTGACTATCCGTGTTTGTAGTCGTGGGAGTGTTGAAACATAATGTGCGCGGCGTTATCGCAAGGGTCGCCTTTTGAAAACGGCTGGCCTTCCATCTTTGTAAGAGGTGTATATTGTTGCAAGTCAGGGCGCACGTCTGGTGGTGCGACAAGGGCGGCATTTATAAGGAAGAGCGATGGAGGAGAACGAATGGTAGGAGGAGGAGGGGATCGCCATAAAGGAGAGGATTCTTGGAGGTCTGTTCTCCTTGTTCGGGCTCCCAAGGCCTTCCCTTGTCCCGTGGCCGTCAGAAAACATCCCGGTGCGTAACATTGGTCTGGCGGAAAGCTTCGGTGTCCAGGACATGTTTTCGTTAGGACGTCTTATCTTCATATCGGGGGGAGGGAGGTGGGTTCTGAGGTTTGTGGGCCTTCCCGAACGTTGCAAACATGTTCTGGGGGGTTTCGTCGTGCTCTGGGGAGGTTATGGGGGTTTCAGGGGAGGAAGGAGTGGGAGGCGGAGGAGAACAGATGAGGACGATGGCTTGAGTTGCCCAGGTTCATCGCGGGCACCACGCTCCGTATCCCGTGCTCATTCCTGACGCACTTCGGGAGGAGCATCGACGAGAAGACGCCCCTCCTGCGCTCGATGGAGCGGGGTGGGCTAGGCTTGACATGGCGTGGGAGAAGGCGGGCGAGCGTGCCATCAGGCGATGGAGGACATGGCTATGGTGCACACAGCGGCGCGCGAGAGCGCACGCGTAAACGCGCACACTCTTCCATCCACCAGCGCGCCCGCGGCCAAGATGCGCAAGCACGCATGCGCTCAGGCGCTCGCTCGCACGCTCATGCGTCTACTCGCGCACACGGACGCACGCACACGCGCACACGCGCAGATACGCCTTGCGCGTGAGCACCCACAAACGAGTGCAGACACGAGCAGGCTCGCGCACGCACTCAAACCAACGTGCGCACGCACCCTGACTTTGTTGCCAGCGGACTGGTGGCCGCCACCATGCCAGGGAGCATCATCAGAATCGAGTCAGCCCCGATGCATGAGGCGGGAATGGACAAGCAGGGCCAGCCACGGGGAGGGCGGAGGAGGAGAGAGTGCCGAACGGTCGGTCGGTGCCCGGCAAGACAGCAGCCTCAGCTGTTCCGTAGGAGACCCACGTGCAACTTACGTGGATGTTCTTTGTCACATCGGGCGTCAGCATATAGCGCATGGCATTTGCGTGCAGCCATCTATTCACACACGCGCCCACACATGCATGCGCTCACGCCCCCCCTCACGCACACCGCGCATCCACAAATGCAGTGTTGTCTTGGTCGCCCAACTGGCGCAGGAGCAGATGGGTTCCGGGGATCGCGCCGCATCGCCGGTGCATCGGTGATGCGGCGAGATTTGGATTACGACGTTCTCATTTTGTCGCGCTGCCGATACATCGGCGATGCGGTGCCATCCACCTACCCGAACTACTCTGTCCTCTTTTGGGCGGCCCCCCAAGTGTGAAGGAGTTTAGTGGCGGATGTTGATCCTGTCTCTCTCTCTCTCTCTCTAAGGGCTTTCGGCCCATCCCACCACCTTGCATGGGTTGTGGGTATGAAGCATGTTGGATGTTCGTTGGGATCTCGTGGGAGGCCCCTCGAGGGCCTCTTGGAGGCAGTTTGGAGGCATATTGGGATGTTGAGGGGCGTCTTGAAGCCTCTTTGGGGCTTCTTGGGGTCCTCTTGGGGCCTCTGAGGGGCCTCTTGGGGCCCTCTGGGGGCCTCCTAGGCGCCTGATGGGGCGGAAGGCTAGGATGTTCGGTCCGTGTTCCCTCTCTTGGGCCCCTTCTTTGGCCGTCGGCGGGCCCTCTTGGGTCGTCGTGGGCGCCTCTTGTGCCGTCTTGGGGCGCTCCTAGGCTGTCTTGGGGCCTTCTTGGAGGCTTCTTTGGCCGCTTTGGGGTGGTCTTGGGGGCCTCTTGGGCCGTCTTGGAGTGTGTGTGGAAGCCGAAAAGGCGAGAACACCAACATATTCAAAGCATTGAAGGAAAATACATGATGATTTTTGTCTCTGGAGCACTTTTGGGGCGTCTTGGAGGCCTCTCGGACCATCTTGAGGCCATCTTGGGCGTCTTGGACCGATCTGAGGGCGTCTTGGGGCCCGCTGAGACCGTCATGGGGGCTTCGTAGGCCCGAACAAATCATGTCATGCGGAACCACTTCCTGGAGCTGAGGTTGCATGCGGGAAGCCCCACGGGGGCACGCGGGAACCCCCAGGAGATGCCGGGATGCTTTCAAATTTGACCCCTCTCGTGTTGAAATCTCTTCGTGTGGTTCAAGCATCCGCAGCTTCTGAACACTTCTCGAAACAATCGAAGCGTCGGTGTATCAGTGCTGAGCGATAGCGCTTTTGGACTGCAACGTGCTTGAGTTCGTTATTCGTTTTACCACTGTCCGTCATGGTTCAAACCATCACGTGCGTGACGCTTCGGCATCCGGTTGATGGCGCTGGGAGGATGGCCAGAAGCCAGTGCTCATGCGCCTGGACCTGCTGCCATAGTGACTGGGCACAGGCCCAGATCGCCGGGGTCTCCACAGCCGGAAGCCTGGCCTGTGTCGGGTGCGCCCGGGGGCCGCACCCCCTCTCCGCTCTGGCCTCCGCGGCCCCCCACGGCGCCTCCGCCCTGCCCCCCTCGCAGCCGACGCCTGCGCAACAGGACGCCGTGAGCGTCCAGGGGCTGCGCCTGCTCAAGGCCCTGGGGCTGGCCTCGGACGCCAGGTGCCTGCGCTCGTACCTGGGCTGGGAGCAGGAGCTCGCGCGGCCGCGAGTGGGGCGGGCCCAGGGCCAGGATTGAGTCGGGCCTGTCCCTCTGCAGAGGGGATATATTCAAAGATAGTTCAAAAAATAGTCTGGGGACGATTTTGTTTTAGTTTTTTTTGTTTTGCTATTTCGGGGTATTGTTCCCCACATCCTAAGTGGGGTTCTTGTTTTCTCTGCACACCCTCCGCGCAGGATCTCTCGTCCTCCTCCCTCTCCTCTGCTCCTCTTTGCTTCCTCCTCCGCATCATCATCACCATCACCATCACTCCCCACTCATCATCATCATCATCATCATCATCATCATCATCATCATCATCATCATCATCATCATCATCATCATCATCATCATCATCACCATCACCATCAGCATCACCATCACCATCGCACGATCACTCACCATCATCGGCATCGAACGATCATCATCATCATCATCATCATCATCATCATCATCATCATCATCATCATCATCACCATCACTACTCGCTGACTCACCACTTCGTCCCCATCATCATCATCATCACCACCATTTACCATCAGAATCGCACGATCACTCACCATCAGCACTCATCATCACCACCATCATCATCACGTCGTCATCATCACCACCACCATCATCATCATCATCATCATCATCATCCTCATCATCATCATCATCATCATTATCATCAATCATATATCATCATCAAACACCGTCGTCATCACCCCATCACCATTATCCACCAAGAGGGAGCCTCGTCTGTGAGTGAATTGTGAGGCAGTCTCAGGCGGGAGCCCCCTCCCTATGGGGCCCGCAGATCATGTTACTAATCCGAGCGGGTCATCGGATTCCTGTAACTGTCGTCACTTTGGGGCTCCTCAGGTTTGAATTTGGAGGAAATATCAAGCGGGAGCCTCGTCTGTGAGTGAATTGCGAGGAAGTCTCAGGCGGGAGCCCCCTCCCTATGGGGCCCGCAGATCATGTTACTAATCCGAGCGGGTCATCGGATTCCTGTAACTGTCCTCACTTTTGGGTTCCTCAGGTCTGAATTTGGAGGAAGTATCAGGCGGGAGCCTCGTTTGTCAGTGAATTGCGAGCAAGTCTCAGACGGGAGCCCCCTCCCTATGGGGCCCGCAGATCATGTTATTAATCCGAGTGGGTCATCGGATTCTTGTAACTGTCGACACTTTTGGGCTCCTCAGGTCTGAATTTGGAAGAAATATCAAGCGGGACCTTCGTCTGTGAGTGAATTGTGAGGCAGTCTCAGGCGGGAGCCCCCTCCCTATGGGGCCCGCAGATCATGTTACTAATCCGAGCGGGTCATCGGATTCCTGTAACTGTCGTCACTTTTGGGCTCCTCAGGTGTGAATTTGGAAGAAGTATCAGAGCGGGAGCTCGTTTGTGAGTGAATTGCGAGGAAGTCTCAAGCGGGAGCCTCCTCCCTATGGGGCCCGCAGATCATGTTATTAATCCGAGCGGGTCATCGGATTCCTGTAACTGTCGTCACTTTTGGGCTCTTCAGGTTGAATTTGGAGGAAGTATCAGGCGGGAGCCTCGTCTGTGAGTGAATTGTGAGGAAGTCTCAGGCGGGAACCCCCTCCCTATGGGGACCGCAGATCATGTTATTAATCCGAGCGGGTCATCGGATTCCTTTAACTGTCGTCATTTTTGGGATCCTCAGGTCTGAATCTGGAGGAAGTATCAAGCGGGAACCTCGTCTGTGAGTAAATTGTGAGGAAGTCTCAGGCGGGAGCCCCCTCCCTATGGGGCCCGCAGATCATGTTATTAATCCAAGCGGGTCATCGGATTCTTGTAACTGTCGTCACTTTTGGGCTCCTCAGGTCTGAATTTGGAGGAAGTATCAGGCGGGAGCCTCGTTTGTCAGTGAATTGCGAGGAAGTCTCAGGCGGGAGCCCCCTCCCTATGGGGCCCGCAGATCATGTTACTAATCCGAGCGGGTCATCGGATTCCTGTAACTGTCGTCACTTTTGGGATCCTCAGGTCTGAATTTGGAGGAAGCATCAAGCGGGAACTTCGTCTGTGAGTGAATTGTAAAGAAATCTCAAGCGGGAGCCCCCGCCCTATGGAGCCCGCAGATCACGTTACTAATCCAAGCGGGCCATCGGATTCCTGTAACTGTCGTCACTTTTGGGCTCCTCAGGTCTGAATTTGGAGGAAGCATCAGGCGGGAGCCTCGTTTGTTAGTGAATTGCGAGCAAGTCTCAAGCGGGAGTCCCCTCCCCATGAGGCCCGCAGATCATGTTACTAATCCGAGCGGGTCATCGGATTCCTGTAACTGTCGTCACATTTGGGCTCCTCAAGTTTGAATTTGGAGGAAGTGTCAAGCGGGACCCTCGTCTGTGAGTGAATTGTGAGGACGCGTCAGGCGGGAGCCTTTCTATGGGTCCCGCAGCTCACGTGGTTCCTCCGGGTCATCCTCCGGCGCGCGCTTCCTCTGGGTCGTCCTCCGGCGCGTATCGGCTGGGACGCACGTCGTGCGCTTCCTCTGGGTCGTGTTCCGCACGAGGACGAGGAGGAGGAGGATTGCCAGGAAAAGAAGGAGGGTGATGCAGGACGAGACAGGAAAGCAGGAAGAGGAAGAGGCTGAGGGGAGGAAGGACGAGGAGGAAAAGGAGGAGGAGGAATGCCCGAGGAGGCCCCAGTAGGTCCCGGAGGGCCCAGGAGGCTCCAGGAGGCCCCAAGAGGCCCCAGGAGGCCCCAGGAGGGGGCAGGAGGCCTAAGGAGGAGGCAGGAGGAGGAGGAGGAGGAGGAGGAGGAGGAGGAGGAGGAGGAGGAGGAGGAGGAGGAGGAAGAGGGGGGGGGAGGAGGGGGGAGGAATATGGAAACGAGGAGGAGGAGGAGGAGGAAGCGGATGAGGGAGAGGGAGAGGAGGAGGACAGGGGATGAGGAGGAGGAGGAGGAGAAGGGAGAGGGAGAACAGGAGGAGGCAGGAGGCAGGAGGGGCAGGGGGAATGGGGGGGAGGAAGCATAACGAGGGGGAGGGGGAGGAGGTGGAGGAGGCAAGAAGAGGAGGAAGAGGCAGGGGTTGAGGCAGGAGGAGGAGCAGACAGGAGGAGAAGGAGGAGGCAAGAGTAGGTGGGAGAAGGGAAGGGGCAGGAGGATACCCCCATGCAAGCTAAAGAGATTCTCATGTGGGGTCCTTCCGTCGGAGTAATTTTAGTCTTTTTAAATTTGTCTTCCAAAATCTCCCTGTATGGGGGACAGGCCCGACCGAAGACCAGGATAGAACCGCTCCAGAACCCAGGACACCCGCCAGGGCGCGAAGATGATGACATCGCGCGTTGCGCAACGCGGTTTGTGCCAGAGTGGTTGCCCTTTATCCAAGTGGGCGGTGCGAGGGCGCGAGGGTGCGAAGATACTCGCGCATCGCGGGGCGCGATGCGCGAAGTTAGGTGAGCTAGGGAATTATCTCGGAGCGTCTGGAACGGTCGCGGCGCCCAATTCATGCTCTAGAACAGCGGGATCTCGAAGATCCCCTAAGAGTGCTGGTCTTGTCTTGTCCTGGTCGTGGCGTCGCTTTAACGTGAAAGATGAGATCAGGGATGGCGAAAAGGGGGGTGATGCGCAAAGGGGTGGATAGCATTGTCACGCCCATCATATTTGCCCAGATCTCATGTCCCCCTCGTCTTCTTTCAGTACGTCCTTGGCCCCCTCCTGCGCCACGCACGCGGCTCGGGCCATGATTTGCGATCTCCCTCTTGGACGCCCCTCCTTTGGACGCCCCCGATCGCGATTGTCGCGCCCTCCCGTATGCACCAGCGCACGCCGGCCACGGCGCACGCCGGCCACGAAGTGCTGGGAGCAGCCCCCGCGCATTCGGGGGGGTGCCTCTCTGGGAGGCCCCGCGGGGGAGCCAGGCAGGGGCCAAGAGCTTCCAGGAGCCTCCATCCCCAAGGCTTCGGGTTGCGCACAGACAGGCCCTCCCAGGAAGTCCCAGCTGGCCTGAACAGGCCCCCCGAGTAGTCCCAGCTGGCCTCAACAGGCCCCCGGAGGAGTCCGGGGCGGCCTGTGGCGCGGAGGGCCCAAGGGGCGCCGCCGGAGTCGGCGCCAGGGTGCTGAGACTGCCCTGGACTACTCGCGGGGACTGATGAGGCCCCATTCGGGGAGCGTGTTCAGGCCAGCTGGGACTACTGGGGTGCTGTCTGTGCGAAACCCGAAGACATACCCATCGCGACACTTCGATTTCGTGAGAGATGGCCAAGGGTGAGGGAGGACGAGGAGCACGAGGTTGAGGAGGAGCATCTCAGTGAGGACGAGGAAGACAAGTGCTTCCAAGATTGCCGATCCTCAAATCGCGACCCTTGGATCGTGTGGAACATCAGAGTGAGGACAAGGTGGAGGAGCAGCAACAGCAGGATTGATGACGTGTGATGTCGAACCGTATGCGAATAGGTAATGTAGAAGCAAGGGAGGAAACGACCAGGTAAGTATGATAACCTCGCACAATGTGGAATGGCTTGCTCTCCGCGTGGCGTTTGTATGCAGTCTTTCAAGTGGAATATGCACGCCGATCACGTTCTTTCTCGGCATGTTTCCAAGTCCTCCCCTGCCGTGGCTTCATCGACGTGCAACCTGATTGTCCCACACAAATGTGCTTCTCTTGGGGTGGCGGGGGCGCTTCGGACGTGGAGCGATGCAGGACCCACACGCTCTCGAATATTCAGTACCACAGCCCCCGCAGACGTGGATGGGAGAGAGAGGCTGTGCAGGGCCTGGGAATCTTCAGCCAGGACATCCGCCCCTACGCAGAAGCAACGAACAAAACAGAACCGAAGCTCACTGGATCTGGGCAGCGCACGGCTTGAGATCGGAGGACTGCAAAGCCAGATCGCCCAGAGCCTCTAGGCAGCAGCGCCCAGAACCGAAGCTCACTGGATCTTGGACTGCAAAGCCAGATCTGGGGCGCCCGCTGGGCCCAGACGGCTCCCCGACCCCCAGCCAGGCATCGCAGGACCCGCGCCAATCGGCTGCGCGCCCATGCGGCAGGGCGGAGGGGGGGCGGGCCTTCTTCGAGGCCCCACCGCCTTCCGTTGCGCCCACGAGACCGCGGGCGCTACCCACGGGGCCGCAGAGCCTGAAGATACAAGCACGAGGGGAGCCCGCCGGCGGCGTTGTCGGGCCGCCAGCCAGGCCCCTTCAGGCCCCCGCGGCTCCCACGACGCCGCGGGCACTGTGAGGCTCCGGGCCTTTCAGATGGGGTCCGAGCAGATGGTGTCGGAAGATCGCCCCGCATCGGCGATGCATGGGCGATGCGGCCTGATGCGGAACCCGATTTTCTCCACGCCGATGCATCGGCGACGTTGCCGGCGCCTTGCCGATGCATGGGCGACGCGGCGCGATCCCCCATCTACTCGGACCCCATTTTGGATGCCTCCAGAGGTTCAACCCGCGACCAGAGGCCCGCTGCAGCCTTCTTCCTGCTTTGGTCGTCGGCGAGTCCCTGTGCTGCCTGGAGACCAGCGCCACCGCCGCGGCGGCGGGCCCCGCGCGCCCAGCCCCCACGACATTGCCTCAGGCCTATTCGGCCAGTCGGCCAGGCCCCTCCTCTCCGGCTTGAAGGAGAGGGAGGCTTGAAAGAGAAGAAGACCCAGGCCCCCTCAGGTCATGAGAAGTAAGGACGGACGGTTCTTGAATATGTTCGGCCTTTCGGGGCCTTCGCTGGGCCCTGGGACCGTCAAACAACTATTCAAGAAAGAAGAAAAGTCGTCTTAGGGGGAATGCTTCGAAACCTTTTTTGGCGTTGTGGGAAAACACATGACGTCGGGGGTCTGTGATTGGAGAATCCAGGGGTCCAAAAATCGTGTGGTGATAGACCGCGTGGTGACCTCTAAATCCCAAGAGACCTCACCTCGCGGTCCGTCATCGCGCGGTTTTGGGACCCAGGGGGTTCCAGTCGCCCGAGTCGCAAAACCGTGCAGTGACTCCGCATCCCCACTACGTCACCACGTGGATTGGTCACCACACCGCTTTGGGCCCCACGATGAAAGACTCGAAGAACAGTAAAGGCAGAGATGTTCGCTCGCCTGTGACCAGCTACACGTGCGACTTGAAATAGGTTCGCGGCATGGGCGAACAAAATCTCAGCTCCAACCATCTGTGGTCGATGTTGTGTGTTTCAGTCATTGTTGGGAATGATTTTTAAATGCACTGGATGTGAGACACATGGCTCGTTTTCCTTTTCGCATGGGCAGAGGTTCGGGGAAACGTGAAATTCGAGTGAGCCAGATTTTGGGCTTGCCGCCAAGGTTTGACAGTCCCGGCGTGAATTTTGACGGCCCGGTTTCCGTGAGATGTTTTCAGCGAGAGTTCGTCAGATTTCAGATTATGTCACGCCATTTTCTTGATGGCCCCGTTAGGCCAATTCGAGTCCCCGAAGTCCGAGTCTTACATCTCCCTGGGAGATGGTTCTCTCCCCATAGACGCCATATGCATAACCTTATGCCTCTTGGCCCGACATGCTCCAGCAGCACCCCTTCACCTGCTCATCTCTACGATTGAGCTCGAGAGGGCTTCGCCTCTTCAGGAGTTCTTCGTCATCTCCGCCTCGCTGTACAAGAAGAGGCCTGGCAGAGGGGTGATTCGTCAGTCTTCTGTGGTCTGTCCTTTTTCTTCTTCTTAAGAATCCTCCTCCCCCTCTTCTGCCCCCCTCCTCTACTTATCTTCGCCCTCTTCCCCTCCACAGTACTTGAGCAATTAGGCTTAAGTTATCGAGGTCCTACTTCTGTGCCTCTACCAGCTATCTGGATGCACCCTGGATTGAGGGGTTCCGCTCGCGCGGTCGTGTCAGCGATCGCGATGCAGAAAGATGTTCGTTCCGAACTGTCGGGTAAGTCATGTCTCTCCAAGATCGCCGGCTAGGACTATTGGACATTTTCAGTCCACAGGTCGATGATGCCATGCATGGCAGGGTGGTCATGTGCGCAGTCACTCGCGTGAGCCTATTTATCAGTTTCAGGGCGACTGCAATCCCAGTGCGCCCAGGGGGGAACGCAACAGCCCAGACAGACAGACAGCATTTGAATATCCAAGGGCATCCTGCCAGTCCAAGTCCAACACGCGCCTCGGGCTTGTTCTACCAGAGCCCAGGGCTTTTGACACGCCACAGCACAGCAAACACTAACACGCCTCAACGTACAGAGCGGCCGCTGGCGGATTGCTTTCGGCCCGCTGTAAGGCAGTCGGGCATGATCGTCGCCGTCATGGGCAGCCGCCCTCATCGAGCCGCTCACGACGGCAGATGTGTAAAGGAGGTTGCAGGCAGAATACGCCACAGAGCAGCCCGACTCTGCTTCGACCGCGACGACGAGTCGTTTGTCGCTGAGGGCAAAGAGTTTGCGGAAGCTCTGACGTTCGCGTCTTGGGGCATCCGCCTTTTTTCTCAGTTCGTCTTTGTTGCCAATCTTCCTACTAATCTTTTTTCTTCTTGTTGCTTTTTTTATCTTTTCTTGTTTTGTTCATTTTTTATAATTCTTGTTGGCGCGTCTTGGGGCATCCGCCTTGCGGATCCCCGTGCCGAGGGTCTTGTTGCGACGCAGACTCCCAGATTGTTCCAAGCGCGTCCGTTGACAAGGGCCCTCCACTGGCCATGGGACGTTCAAGAAGACGACTCAGGATCAAAAGTTGGTCCCTGCGCAGAGGCCCTGGGGTCCAGGACCGTCTCCAGGAGGACCTTTCTTTCCTTCGTTCTCAAGGCTTTGCGCGGGTGGCGCGCGCACTCGCCATCCTCCCGATCGTCGCCCAGGGTCCTGCTCGCCCTCGTTGTCGTCGCCATGCTCATCACCTTCGCCTTCCTCGTCCTCGGCCTCGTAGATTGCCAGAGCTGGTCCTGGCCCGAGGTGCCCCCAGCCTTTCGCGCGAGTCCCTGCAGACGGGGGGATAGTTCGTCTTTCGATTTGCTGTGCGCGTTTTGTGCATGACAATGATTCGTTTCGGCAGTGCGGCTGCGACTCCCTCCAGGGACGCAGCGCAACAGTCACAGACTCCGATACATGCGAGAACACCCGACGCAACAATGAAGATTATCTGATGTTAGGTTCGCGAACAAACGAGACATGAATCAAGCGGAACCGAGGGGCCTTTCGGAACTCTACCAGAAACCATCCCGGAATTTGGGCTGGTATCAGCACCTCGGTGATGATGCGTAAGGCGAAGCCATTGCGTCTGCGTTCGATGCATGCAGGATGCCTCGGAGAATTGCAAGGGAACCGAGGGAACGAACTGGAAACCGCCAGAAATAGTCCTGGCAGCTTTTGTTCTCTCCGGAAGTCTCCAGCGAAAGGTACACCGGACCAGTTTATCGTAGGAGAGGGCCGTCGCCCCGCTCAGGAGCCCGCGGCTCGCCCGCATCGGCTTGCCCCGCCATCGTCGTCGACCGCCGCGTACCGCTGTCTGCTGCCATCTCCGCCATATCCGCCGCCATCGTCATCGCAAGTGCTGTCGCCAATCCCTCGCCTCCGACCTCCTCGGCGCAATCTTCGTCTTCGTCGCCGCGATTTGCTCGAGTAAGACATTTTTTTCTCTCGTGCCAGACTAGCAAGGTTCGCCCAACCCCCCGATGCCTTCGCATATCTGGCGGAGGGGCAAAGCGAAAAGCGAAAGCATAAACCGTCCACTGTCTGTGGGGCCCTCTCGGCCTCGTGAAGGTTGCTCTGGACGGGAGGCCGCGGGGGGGCCCTGGACAGTTGGGGCCACCGATGGGGAGGGCCCCCTCTGGCAACACCCGACCGTCGTCGTCGTCGTCCTCGCCTCGCCCTCTTTCAAAACCTCCTGATCAGCTGGGCACGCTGTGAGTAACGCCCGACCTTCGCGGCATTCTCAGCCGCGGCACGGTTGTATCACACTGCTCGGCAGCTTGACAGGGCAGAGTGACGGGAGCGGGTGATCGCCGTCCGCTGTTTCTTCAAAGTTTGCATAATTGTCTTTTCTCTCGGGCCCTTGTCGTCCTCTTCTAACTTTTCTTTTTCATGTTCCTCGTCATCACGTCCCTCCTCTTTTGCCTCCTCCTCCTCGTCATCCTCTTCGTCCACCATTACCCCTTCCTTATGCTCGTCCTCCTCCTTCACTGGCGAACAGCCGCGTGTAGAATCCTCGGGCTCGTTCTCGAAGCAGCCGACTCCTTTTTCCCAAGGCCGCCCACGACGACAGCACAAACCGAAAACCGAACATGGTTCGCCCTCCTGCATGGGTCGGCCCCTCCCCCCTCCTCCGCCTCGTAGCCTCTCCCTTCGTGCCACAGGCCGGACCTCGTCAACACCGGCCGCACGCTGTTCGGCAAGCTGCCCACGCGCGGCCAGCAGGCGGGCAAGCCCCTGGTCTGTGCGGGCCGCGCCGGCCCACCGTCCCCAGGCGACGGCGGGGCGATCTTCACTCTCTTCCCCCATCCTCACTCCTCCTCACTCCTCCTCACTCCTGGGCATTCGGTGGGGGGCCTGGCCCGTGGGGCCAGGCCAGCTCCGCCGGCGCGCCAGAGCCTCGCGGGGCGGCGCCTCTGGCACCGAAGCGCGCCGGGGATTGATCAGGAGCTGCGATCGTCGGACTGCCGAGCCTTCTGAGAGGGCCCGCCCCCTCACACTTTCCCCCCCCCAGAGCTGGCCGCCGGGAGGAGGAGGAGGAGAGGGGATGAGGGACAAGCTAGGTGCGTTCGCGTCATATCTGGCGTCCTATCCCTCCCTCCCATCCGTGACAATGGCGTAGATCTCTCTATTCGCACAGTCGGATGTCGTAGCATGGCATAGCATTGCATGGCATAGCATTGCATGGCATAGCATGGTGTTAAAGATCAACGCGTAGCATGACACAGCAAGGCGTAGCGACGCCCCACAGTGGGGGCTTCTGCGGCCAAACAACCAACGAATCGACACCGATTGTGTAATCACTTTCGATGGTTTTTGTTTGGGGCTATGTTTTTCAATTCTTTACGCTTCGCGTTTCCCCACCAGCCCATCGCACAACAGCAACTCTTGCGAAGCGTGCCGACAGTTGTGTTTTTCAGGCGTGTGTCCGCTTGGCCCCGCATATCTCCCCTGTTCCTCCTTCTTCCCGCCTCCTTGTACATCCTCCTTGTGGGGGCAGCGGGAGAAGGACGACGCGGAGGAGGAGGGAGAGAAAGCGGTGGGAGGCAAGAGGGACTCAGCGGAGAGGACGATCTCAGCGATGATCTGAACAACGACGACGCACACGACGACGACGACGATGTCGACCGCAACGACGACGACGACCACAACCGCGACGACGACGACGACGACGTCGACGACGACGACGAAGGCGGCGGTGCGGGTCCTCGTTGTGTGAGTCCTTCGGCCCCGTCGTCCTTGTGTGAGTCTTTCGGGACCCTATTCCTGGTGTGAGTCGTTCGGTATCCTCGTCGTGTGAGTCGTTCGGGCCCCTCCTCCTGGTGTGAGTCGTTCTGGCTCCTCGTGTTGTGAGTCGTTCGGGCTCTTCGTGGTGTGAGTCGTTCGGGCGCGTCGTCCTGGTGTGAGTCGTTCGGGCCCCTCGTCCTGGTGTGAGTCGTTCGGTCTCTTCGTGGTGTGAGTTGTTCGGGCCTCTCGTCCTGGGGTGAGTCGGTCGGGCTTCTCGTGGTGTGAGGCGTTTGGGCACCTCGTCCGCGTGCGAGTCGTTCGGGCCCTTCGTAGTAGGAGTCGTAGTAGTGGTAGTAGTAGTAGTAGTAGTAGTAGTAGTAGTAGTAGTAGTAGTAGTAGTAGTAGTAGTGATAGTAGTGATAGTAGTAGTAGTAGTAGTAGTAGTAGTAGTAGTAGTTAGTAGTAGTAGTAGTAGTCGTAGTAGTAGTAGTAGTAGTCGTAGTCATGTAGTAGTAGTAGTAGTAGTAGTAGTAGTAGTAGTAGTAGTAGTAGTAGTAGTAGTAGTAGTAGTAGTAGTAGTAGTAGCAGCAGTAGTAGTCAGTGGGTAGTGTGTCGGCGTATCGTCGTCGTCGTCTTCGTAGTAGAGTAGTAGTAGTAGTAGTCGTCGTAGTAGTAGTTGTAGAAGTAGTAGTAGTAGTAGTAGTAGTAGCAGTAGTAGTAGTAGTAGTAGTCGTAGTAGTAGTAGTAGTAGTAGTAGTAGTAGTAGTAGTAGTAGTAGTAATAGTCGTCGTAGTAGTAGTACGAGTACTAGTAGCAGATGTAGTAGTAGTATTAGTAGTACCGGTAGTAGTAGTAGTAGCAGTAGCAGTAGTAGTTGTAGTAGTAGAAGTAGCAGTAGCAATGACACTAGCAGTAGCAGTGACAGTAGAAGTAGCCGTCGTAGTAGAATTTCGGGCCCGTCGTCCTGGTGTG